TTTAATATTCTCTCCTTGTTCTGTATGTTGGCTATCTTCATAATTATATGTCTTGGAGTTGGTCTATTAAGGTTTTGAATGTTTGGGGTCCTGTAGGCTTCCAGGATTTGGCAATCCATTCCATCTTTCATCTCTGGGAAGTTTTCTAGGATTATTTCATTTAATAGGTTGTCCATTCCTTTGGTTTGAACCTCTATACCTTCTTCTATCCCAATGACTCTCAAGTTTGGTTTTTTTATGATATCCCATAACTCTTGGATAGATTGCTCGTGAGATTTAAGCATCCTTTCTGTGTTGACTATATTCTTTTCAAGTTGATAAACCTTGTCTTCATTATCTGATGTTCTGATTTCTACTTGATCTAGTCTATTTGTAATATTCTCGTCAGAGTTTTTAATTTGGTTTATGGTTTCCTGCATTTCTAGGATTACTGTTTTTTTTTTTTTTTTTTAATCTCTATCTCCTGGTAAAGCTCGTTCTTTGCAGTTTGAATTTGTTTGTTTAATTCATTTTCAAAATATACTTTCATTGCTTGGACTTGCTGTCTCATGTCTTCTCTAATATTCCGTTCCATCTGAGTTAGGTATTCCTTGAGTTCTTTCCCTGTCCATGTTTCTGATGCTTCTAGGTCCTCCTGTAGATTTAAGTTGTCCTGCATTGTTTGTAATCATTTTTTCCCTTGTTTTTTCATGTTGTTCACGTTACTTTCCAGCTGTGTTTGACTGCTGTGTAATTGCTTTCTCCTATAAATTTGTTTTGGTTTTGTATATCTCTGTTGTCTCTCCTTTGTGGTGGGAGATTATGCCTAGAAATGTTGGGCTTTATTGTACTTTAAAGCTGATTCATTCTATTCATAAAAGGCTTCCGGGTTCTGTATGCATATTGTGATTTGTTGTTTGTTCTTAGGACTATATGTTTAGGTTAGGTGCTATGATGGTATGAGGGTTAGTATGTCTTGGCTACTTTAGAAGATTGCTCTACTGAAGGGGGACACTAACAGGTGATTGGATCAGGGTGTTGGTATTAGCTAGGTATTTAGGAGCCCTATAGACAGCCTCGCAACATTCATCTATTTGCATTTAGACAATTACACGTAATGGAAGACGTAATGCTTGGGATGAAAGTTGGGGGGTAGGGGAATGAAGGTGCTCTTAAAAAGAAAGAAGGAGAGAGAGATAGATAGATTAGATGAGAATGAAAAGAACAATAAAACTTGAAACGGGAAAGAAAGAAAGAAGGAAAAGGGGAGAAAGGAACAGAGAGAGAAGAAGAAAAAAAAATTGAAGTCTTAGAGATCCATTTTCTTCTCCTCCAGTAGGCTGGGCTGTGCCCTCCGAGCGGAGCCTCTGCCCTCTGCGTGCAGATAGCAATCCCTGTAAGGCGGCTCCTGGAAGACTCTCAGTCTTGTCAGTCCAGAGCCGTTTCACTTCTCCGGCCCTTCCCCCCCTTCCTCCTGTCAGCCAGCCAGTCAGGTCCTGTTCACTAGAAGTGGTTCCCTAGAGATCTAGTTACACTTGCAGCCCCACTGCGCGTCCCATTTAAGCCCCAGTGATGTGGTAAACTGGCGGCTAAGACCTTGGGAGTCACTGCTGGTGATATGGGGGGTTGGGGGTCGGGAATCCCCTCTGCTTCCCTACAGACACGTCCCCAGAAAGATCCCTGAGGTTTCCTGGCTGCTTGTATCTGGATGGGGTGGGAGTCACACACCTGCTGAAGTGGATTCTGCTGGGGAGGAATTCTGTCGGCCGAACTCCGATGAGGTCACCTCTCTGCTATGGCAGGCCCCAGGCTCCTTGCCGGAGTGTCCGAAGGGAGGGGTGGGACTGGTCCGTCCCCGGTTGGCCTCAGCTCCCAGCTCGCTATTTCATGAAGGCTTGGCTAAAGACCTCTTCCTGCCAAGCTGCGTCTCAGAGGCTAGCCACCCAGTCACGGTGGCTGCGGGCGGGCAGGCGGCCATGCTGCGGCGCGCGGACAGCGGCTGGTGGATCTGGACCTCTGTGTCTTGTGGCGGGGATTCACTCATCTGGGGCAAACTGTCACTTCCAAAAATCCTAGTAACTCCCGGCCCGTCTCTCTTCGGTGGAATTTTGCTAGGAGATTCTCCGCAAGTAGAATCTAAGCGTATCTATGCGTCTTTCTGACCCCATCACTGAAGGGGTATTGAAAGCGCTGCCTCTCCACCCACCGCCATGTTGGATCTCTCCTTAAATATTTTTCAAAATTCAGTATTTTAAATATTTTAGCTAGACTGTTTATACATTCTTTCTTTTTAATATATGAGTTATAATTTGCCCACATGCACACACTGATACTTAATAGTCACCAACAGGATGCATGGAAGTTAGTAGACCTGACTGCTTGTTGATAAGAAGATGCAACATCTGGGTAGCCGCTTGTCCAAAGACACATGCCAATCATATGAAGACATCTTTTCAATGGATTTATGAAACCCAGCACCAAGATACACAGCTTGGTGTGCAGTATTTTTTATTTCAGTGAGTCTTGCTGACTGTACCAGGGATCCTTGTGGAGCATGTAAGCTACATGTTCTCATATGGTGAGCTGGTGGTGCACAAGGTGTTAACTGGGTTTGAGTTAAATTTCTACAGCTTATAAATTGTGTGTAATATTAGGAATTAAATCAATTTCTCTAGGCCACGATATCATCCTTAATAAAATGGGGATAATAATGATATTACAATGATTAAAAGTAGATTGTTATTATGTGTACACAGACTATCACAGCTCCAGTATACATGTAAGTACACAAGCAATGAGGCCAATCTTCAGTTTATAACTAACCACATGGACTCTGGGATCTTCCCTTTTCTTGTTGACAACTGAATAATAAGCTAAGGAGAGGTGGAAAGGAAAACTAGAGGCAACAAAAATTATCCTGTAATGTAAACAATAATACCACACGTGTTGGCTTTCATTTTTTTGGTGGACAAAACATTTGTTGCCCATTATAAGATTTTTGAGGTAATTATTTATTGCTACTATCTTGTGTCTGAAAAAATTAAGGATATGATTCATGCAACAATTAGGTCTTAACCCAACTTAGTGACATCTCCAGTTTTCATGAGTTCATGTCCACTAATATTTCTGTAATACCTCAGCTGTCTTCCTTCCACATAATTCACTTGTGTTGGGTGGAGCTTTACCATTTAGATAACAGTTCCCTTGAGTAATTTTACTTGTTCGTTGAAAAAACTATTGATCCCCCAAATCAAAACTCTTTTGTCTCTCTCCTGGAAATTACCGATGTTCCAGAAGTAGAGAAAGGACTGAACAAGTAGCCACAGGCTTCTATCTGCAAACCAGGTTGTATGTGGTCTGGGAGGGTTTCATGAGGTGATGTCCAACGTTTCATTCTGGGCCTGCTACAGAAGTGGTGTTAAACCAATACCGTCATTTCTTGTTATTTCTGGTAATTATGTTCTATAAAGTAGCTAGGAATGCTTAATGAGCGAATACATAATCATTGTTCCTAGGGGATATGTAAGGATAGATTCCTGAGATGGCAATTCAAAATCTTTTCTCCATCCAATTAATGCATGGCCATGTTTAATGGGTGTTAGTTTACATTCTTAATTCATAAACATTGAACTCAAGACCGATGGCACTGACACATGCCTAAAGGGAATTTATCTATCACATGAATTTTTCTCTGTAAGGCACCTCACAGCATTTTGGCACTACACTTGGGAGCCATTTTACACAGCAAAATCGCCAGCAAAATATACAAAGATTCAAAAAGTATGGCACTAAATAGACCACAAAAAGGATACTTGTTTACAGTATGAGACCTGAAAATGGGAAGGCAGAGAATTGCCTTGTTCAACCTCATCTGGGAATATGCACATGGGTGACTCAAATTTTTGCTGCTTTTCCCATTTTTTGCAAGTGATTGTGAAAGTGCGGCACATATTGATCTTGAGTATACAAATATATTTTAGAGAGTAGGCAAATTTGCAAATGAAGAATCTGTGAATAATGAGAAGGAAGCCTACAGTTCTTTCTCTTCTATATTCCCTTACCCAGCAAGTATTGAAAATTGACCTTTGTTTCCTAATTCTATACAATGTTGAACATCATTAATCTCAAGATACAAAATCTGAAATGCTCTGAAATTCAAAAGCTGGTGAATGATGATAAGTCAAAAAAATTCAGATTTTGGAACATTTTAGGTTTGTTGGATTAGGATGCTCAGCCAGTACAGTCTATGCAAATACTCAAAAAAAAAAAAAAAACCCACATCAAATCTGAAACACTACTACACTAACACTACTTGTCTCAAAACATTTCAGATAAGGGATATTTAATCTGACTTTCTCCCATTGTGACCCCTCTGTGTACACACTCAAAAGCTCTATAGTGAGCCATGGTCATCCTGGATTTCTAGAGAGGAAGTGGGAAATGCTGAGATTAGGCATGCCGCCCTGAAATGCCCTAAGTCGGTCTGTTTGGCATCTTTCTGTAGATGCCTTCATTTACACTTATGAAAAGTCTCCCCTACCCCACCCAACTTGGATGCTCAGATATTGTTTAAAATTCTTCTCCTTCCCAGCAACAGAAGGCCTTTTTTCTTTTTTTTCCCCCATCTCTGAACAGATTTCAGTGTTGAAAGAGGTGCATTCTTTCATCTGGTAAAAGTTTCCTGAGACCAAATATAAAAATTGTCAAGAATAGATTCTTTTGAACAAACATATGTCATCAAAGAGACAGAGAAGTTCTGTTACTGTCAGTGTGTGTGTACTTTGGATGTCTCTGTGTAATTTTTTTTTGTATATGGGAGTAGGGCATGGGGAATTGGGGGGCCCTCACCAACCTGTGCTCCTGGCCTCCCTGGGATGGAGGAGACATACTTTCTAGAATGGCAGAGCATCTCATAGACCATGTCAGGGACTGGCTCTGCCATCCACAGGAGGCAGAGTCAACTACAGCCTGCACTTCCCTTGTCTCACCATTAGTCACACTTTGTTCCGTAACCCACACAGGCCATCATGGCGCAACTACCACAAGAGGAGAAGGCAAAAATAGCTGAGCAGGTGGAGATATTCCACCAAGAGAAAAGCAAGCTGGACGCTGAAGTGGCCAAGTGGGACGACAGCGGCAATGACATCATTGTTCTGGCCAAGCAGATGTGTATGATCATGATGGAAATGACAGACTTCACAAGGTGAGGCCCAGACATAGGAGGTGAAGGTTTTTTTGTTTTATGTTTTTTTTTTTTTCTTTAAACCCAGACCTATTGGCCTCTGGCAAATATGTACTTGAGAGGACATGTAAAAACCTGCTGAAAAATTAAAATACTGTATCAAAGCAAGGTGCTGTGCTTTCGTAAGGGTTTCATATAAATTTACGTGGATAAGTAAAAAGGGTCTGGATGTAATTCCTGGCATAATAGGTCCTTTTGGTCAAAGAGAACAGATTCATTTATGAATTTGTTATTACTTTAATTATCCTAAGTCATAAAATAAAATCCCAGAGGATGGGTGATTCATCTTTGGTTGGTGCTATTTTGGAATGTGTTTCAATATCACTTTGAAGATTTGTTAATATTCCTTTGGATGATAATATTCTTTTGGAAAAATTCTGTGTGTGTGTATGTGTGTATTTATGTGCGTGTGCACATGTATGTATTGTAATTTCAGCTCATGATCTAGCATAAATTTCTACTCAAATTTACCCTTACATACAAAAATTGGGTACAACAATCTAAAATCCTAGAATTTTGTCAGGGAACTTAAAATCTGTATGATTGTTATTCCCTTTGGCTCTGATCACTACTTTTGATAAATCAAGGGACCACTCAGGAATTTGTCAGGAGCCTTTTCTTCACCAGGGGTCATTGCTTGTTCCACCACTGCACTTTGATCTCTTCTTTAAAAGCAGTGACAACTCTTCCTGCTCTTCCTACCGCACAGAGAGAGCAAACAAGGGGAGAACATTCCTAAATTTTTAGTTAGGCTATCAGGGGATTGGGGGCAAGTATCTTACTGTCATTATTTCTTTGCAAAATAGTGAAATAATACTTGTCTTATTAATTTCACAGGAAAAAAAATTTTTAATTCAAAGAGGTAATTCAAGTATAAATTATGCTGCCAAACTAATGTAAGCTATCATTTTTCTGTTTTTTTTTAAAATACAGAGACACATACACAAGATGTTTTTTTTTCTCTTTTTTTTTCGTAAGATGTTTTAGTGATTCAACATGGTTTTTGTTATTAAACTATGTAAGATATATGACAGTATCAAGACATCACCTTTTGGGTGACCAAGTTTTTAATGGTTGTTGAATGCTTCTAATAAGAAAAGGCCAGAATTGATCATAGGTTATAATAAAACATGGAATATCTCTGCGTCATCCCCTTTACCCTTTGCCTCTGGCCAATATGTACTTGAGGACATTGCTTGGCTCTTTCTCCAAATATTTTAAAATTGTTTTTGACTTCAATGAAATAACTTTAGTGTTATGAGGGTGACCTTCAAGACTTTAAATGTCATCACATTCATTAGAAATTCAAATTCGTACATTTGGTTAGTCTGTGTCGACTTCACCTATTTATTTCAAATGTCTGAGCTGTTATTTAAGTCTGAATTTCCTACAAATCAGACTGTCATGGCAGCCTCAGTCATTGCTTCTCAAGGCCTGTGATGACTTAATTTGTTCACTTTCTACATTTTATTAGTATTTTATCTGATGGATATTATGCAATCCATTAATCACATCAATGGAACAAATAATCTCATTAGTTTAAAGTGAATAATGAATCTAGTCATGTTGCTGGTTATTTAGATCAGGAGAACATTTTATAGTTCTTGAAATTAGATATAACTGTGGTCAAGGGAGAGACATGTATTTGAGGAATCTTATTAAGTGATGTTAAATAAGACAGACTTTTTATTAGTGAAAGTATAGTTTTGAAAGTGAAAAGAAGGCTGCTGCGCTTTCCTAGGGATTTCATATAATCATTTTTGTGTCGATTTGAGTAATGAAATGTCCAGGATGCTACTGCTTATCATTTTTCTAGCTACATGATAAGTCATTTTGCGAGGGAAAGGGAGGAGTCTGGTAATTAATGACTGGAAAACCAGGCTAGGGTGTGAATTGGAAATACCACAGGGGGAGAGCAGAAGCTTCTCTGCTGCCTCCATCTGCAGAACCTTTACAAAGAGGCAGATGATTGGTGCCTTTTTTGGTGGCTTCTCACCTAAGTTCACTCCACTTGATTTTGTGCATTATTGTAATTGCCCTTGCATCTTCCCCTTCAAGAAGGAATAATGTCAGTTTCATAGATCTAGATATCTCTATGGACTATTTTTTTATGATTTAGAGGAAAGGGTATAGCTGATTAGAAATTTTAGTTTTCCTATTCTTCTCAATTCATATGTTTAGAGGGCATGTGGGAACAACAACAAAAAAAAAAACACCCTTGCATTCATTATCTTGTTGTTTTATTCGTATCACCGACTAATTCATTAATTTGATTCAGTAATCTCAATGATACCCACTCCATTATTATTAAAATTGGAGAGGTTCTGCCTCATTATTCATGTAATAACTTCTTCATGGAGGATAAACCTGATTATGCCCATGTCTTTTTCCTGCTCAGTTCTTGACTGTCATCTCATGGACACTGGCAGAAGCACTGTCCTACACAAGGGTGAATTCATGTTTTCATGTCATTTTTTTGAGAAGGAAATAGCATGGGCCAGTCTTGTGCCCCAGTCATGAGAGTTGTGTGGACAGCACAATGCTGTCATAAGAAGTGAGAACAGAGAACAGAATGGAAACTAAGGGCAAAAAATTTTGAGGATGAGGATGTAATCAACTGTAAAATACTGAGCACTAAACTAAAAAAAAAAAAAAAAGTCATGCAATCACTCCATACTTCCCAAAATGAAGTTTTTGCTCAAGTGTTTAGTCCATCAGCCTAGGTAGCACTCAACTCTCAGTTCTAGTTCTCTACTCATATCAATTCAGGCCACATCTGAGCCTTAAAGAACAACTTTTCAGCCATCTTTGTATGGAAACTTTCAATGCTTCCCCTTTATGCAGAATAAAAAACTTGGTGCTTGCCCTTCAATGCCTACTGTATCTGTCTCTCTGTTGTATGAATTTAAAATTTTGACCTCAGTGCCATAATCTAAATGGTATCCTGATAGAGAGCAATTCATGGCTCTGCAATCCCACCTAACTTCTCAGGATTCTCCGGAATAATTCAAATGCTTGACTGTGCATCTCCATACTGCTTCAGCTGACTGGAACTATTTCCCAAGCATATTTTATGAAGCCTATCCTACAGAAAAGAGACTTCTATGGTTCAATATATTTGCAAATACCTTCCTTATATGCTGCATTTCATTACTAGAGAGTTACATTTGATATAAATAATTAGACTTATTGAAAAGGCTATAGAAAGGAAACCTTTGTAACTTGGATTAACCCAGAATTTGAATCCTGAGGACATGAACTCAATGTACTGACACATTGATTTTTCAGATTAAGACATATTAATTTTTAAAAAAATATATGTGAATTAGTTGGCAAATGGGAGATAGAAGTACTATAGTAATGGTTTTCCTTGACTTTTTTGGAGTGAATATTTCATGGGAAAGACTCCAAATATTGACCGACCTTTGTTTAGGAATCAGCTCTGATCAAATGAGAGAAGTTAGAAGAATCTGTAGAGATAATTCGACTACTTGATTCTCTAAGAAAACCAAAAGTGTGTTCCAGATGTGACAATAAGATGACTCCTCTGGTTAAGAACTCCTATCCCTAAAGCACCTTTTAAAACTCCCCCAAATAATCTAGTCTAGGGTTGGGAAACACAAGTGGTGGACCATTGTTTTCAGACTGGGAGCTGTAGCCAATGGGCCAGTCTCCTTATCAATACTTCCAAATAGGAAGAATAGGAAGACTCACCCATCCAAGGCTTCCAACCCTCCTGGGCCTGATTCTCTCATTTGTTTCAGTGGGCACTTTATCATTATCTAGATGAATAATCTCTCCTCCTCTTCCTCCTCCTCTTCCTCCTCTTCCTCCTCTTCCTCTTCCTCCTCTTCCTTCCCCTTCTCATTTAGACTTGTGTAGTTCACTAGCTATATGGGACTAAGTTTATTGTGAACTATATCATAAAGTTTACCATTAGGACCAATTTATTAACGTACAGTTCTATGGCATTAAGCACATTTACATTGTTGTGCACCTATCACCACCATCTGCCTGCAGAACATTTCCATCTTCCTTAAACAGATACTCTGTACTCCCTTGTATACTAGGTCCCCAATACCCTCTCCTCACAGCCCATGGAAACCACCATTCTGCTTTGTCTCTGTGATTTTGACATATAAGTGCAATCATCCATTTCATGTTTATTTCATTTAGAAAAATGTTTTCGAGACTCACTTATGTTGTAGCATGTGCCAGAATGTCCTCCTTTTATAAGGACAAATAGTATTCCATTCTATGGATTTACCACTATTTGTTTATATATTCATCTGTTAATGGGTTCCATCCATCTTTTGGCTATTATGAATAATACTGCTCTGAACAAAGGTGTGCAAATATCTGGTCAAGTCCCTGCTTTCATCTCTTTTGGGATATACCCAGAGGAGGTATTGTGAGATCATATAGTGATTCTATTTCTAATTTTTAGAGTCACCAACACCATTTTCTATGGTGCCTGTCCCATTTTATATCCCCACCAACAGTTTCTCCATATTCTTGCTACTGCTTATTATTTCCTTCCCTCTTCCTTCTTTTCCTCCCTCCCTCTCTCCCTTCTTCTTTCTTTCATAATAATCATCCATGGTTATGGAGTAGTATCTCATTGTGGTTTTGGTTTTCATTACCCTAATGGTTAGCAGTATTGAACATTTTTTCTCTTGTACTTTTTTGACCATTATATATTTTCCTTGGAGAAATGTTGGTTCAAGCCTTTACACATTTTCTAGTGCAGTTTTGTTATTGTTTCTGAGTTTAGGAATCCTTTATATTTTATGGATACTTACTTTTGTTTTTACCAGATAATACAATTTTCAAATATTTCTTCCCAGCTCAGCTTGGCCCAGCCCAGCACAAGTTATTTTCTTCATTTCCTTTTAGGGTTTTTTTATTATTAGTGTGTAGAAACACAACTGACTTTTACATTTTGATTTTGTGCCCTACAACTTTTGTGAATTCATTTACTAGTTCTAATAGATTTATTTTTATAAAAATAGAGCATTATAGTTATACATAGTAATTAGATTTATCCCAACAAAATCATACATGCATGGAATTCAGTTTTAGGGCATCCCCACCCTCACCCCTATTCTCCTTCCTGTACTGGTCTTCCTTTCACATGTATTGATTTATTTTTGACTAGTTCTTTCTCCTTATACATAAAGGTGAAATTCCATATGGTATATTTATATATGCACATAGCATGCTTTTTTTTTCTTAATTCATTCTGCATTTCTTCTGCTTTATAATCCCTTCTCTCTATCTTCCTCTCAGTCTCCATCTTCTACTATACTCACTTTCCCTATATTTTTATTACATCTGTTCCTTCCCTTCTTTTTATTTTACTCTATTTTCCACAGATAAGAGAAAATATTTGACCTTTGAGTTTCTGAGTCTGGCTTATTTCATTAGCATGATAATTCTCCATGTCCATCCATATATTAGCAAATGCCGAAGTTTCATTCTTCTTCATGGCTGAGTAAAATCCATTTGTGTATACCCCACAATTTTTTTATACATTAATCTAGTCACCAGCATCTGGGTTGATTCCAAAATTTTGCTGTAGTTAACTGTACTTCTAGAAATGTTTATGTGGCCACATAGCTGTAGTATGCTGATTTTAAGTCCTTTGGGACTTATATACAGAGAAGTGGGATAACTGGGTCAAATGGTGGTTCCATTCAAAGTTTTCTGAGGAATCTCCATACTGCTTTCCAGAGTAGATGTACTAGTTTGCAGTCAAACCAACAAGTGTACCTTTCCCCTACATCCTCACCAGCATTTGTTATTTGCATTCTTAATATTTTTTTTTTTTTTGAGAGAGAGAGAGAGAGAGAGAGAGAGAGAGAGAGAATTTTTTAACATTTATGTTTTAGTTTTCGGTAGACACAACATGTCCATTTTACTTTTATGTGGTGCTGAGGATCGAACCCAGCGCCCCGCGCATGCCAGGCGAGCATGCTACCACTTGAGCCACATCCCCAGCCCATGCATTCTTAATAATTACTATTCTGACTAGAGTGAGATGAATCTTAATGTAGTTTTGAGTGTCATTTCCCTGATTGCTGGAGATGTTGAACATTTTTTTCCAAATATTTGCTGGTCATTTGTATGTTTCTATTTCCAGTGTTTCATGTTTTATGAGCCATTATTCTTTTCTCATAATTCCAATTGTTTCTTCTTATTTCTTTCTAAATTCTTAAGCCAGACAATAGGTTTTGTTTTTATTTCTTTTGCATATATATATATATATATATATATATATATATATATATATAGCCTTTCACATAAGAGAAACACATTTAGCAAAAAGTACACAACTGTCACTCAGAACCCATAAGTTCCATCCTGTTTCTTTGTGTAGAGTACCTTTTGAGCATGTCACTTCATCTTCCCTCTTGGATTCTAGTCTTCAACTAGAAAATGAGGCAATATCTGATCTTAAAACTTTTATTAGGCTCTCTAAATTTGATTAAACAGTACTCAGGCTGGATCTCTATCAAGCTTGTGATTCTAAGAAATTGAATTGAGTCTCCAAAGTCAACTTGGAAGTTCTCAAACATTTTTTTTTTTCCTAACAATATTCTGGTGAGTCCATGAACTATAGTCTCCAATAGAATAAAAAGGACATGCTTCTTTTCACAATTAGGCTAAAAGAAGGGGGCCTGGCCCTCATGCAAATATAAAATCTTGATAGGCATTCTTTACCAACTTAGCACATTCCATGAGGATCAATCAGTTGTTGAAGATATCTTGTAAGTTTCACAAGGAAGCATTTTCTTAGATTCTTTGAAAGTCTTGAAATAAACACACATTTCCTTAGCAATGAAAAATCAAGCAGAGTGCAGCTCTTAATGACTAAGTTAAGATAAAGGCAAAAAGTAACAAGTAGTATGTCTGAGTGAAACTGCAGAAGGGATATTCTAAGCTCTGCAAGTTACAGAGAAATACATAGTAATGAGAATGTTATTAAGCACTGACACATTCTGCATCTAAGCTTTCATTTGTTAAAGAGAGGAACAAAATAAAAAGAAGGAAGCTTATTTAGAGATAATTTAAAAATTATGTTAGAGAATAGGAAACAGATTGTCACAGAATCTTTAATTCATCCATATCATCCATATTACATAAAATTCACATGGAAAATCTCAGTTCATATTTTAAAATCTTAATGGCAACTGAAAACTCAGTGTACTTTGTGGAAGAGTTAATGTGACTATGGTAAAATGAAATATCTTAAATTTATAATCTTCCAATGTGTGTGTTTAAACATTAATATGAACCTCATATATTTTGCTTGTAGCTACTAATGTAGAAAAATGCCATAAGGAAAATTGGGAGAGAAATGGAACAAAATGCCCTTCATTTACATTTATTTACTGAAAATTATCTGAAGTCTTCCTATGCAATGTTGTTATGTAAGGATAGTGATAACTACTCACTTAGAAGAACCCAGTCCACTCTAAGTCACTTCTGTGTAGTTGTCCTCTACTTATCACCATATTTCTGACAATGGAATGTAATTATGTCACCTTAAAAATGCATTGATTTTTTTTAGAAGCACATAAGGAGATCAGGGTAAGTAACAATGCTAAAAAATAAGGCTAAACCTATGTAATCTAGTTTTTATTTTACTTTAAAGAGAACAAAAAAGTGATATCACATGCTACATTTTGTTTAAAGGTTCATGATGCAGCAAAATTCCCTTTTCCCTCAAAACAAATATTTAAAATTAAAGTTCACCTAATTAGGTAATCTAATATTAAGTGGCTTACCTAAAAGAAAACCTTATGTTGGGGCAATGATTTAGAAGCATAAAGATATTTATAATCATAGTGTTTTGTGTGTTCCTTCACAAATTATTACCAGAAAGATAAAATATATGAGATTGTGAAATTCTTAAATTGCCAAAATTCTAGCCAAAGAGTCCCCTATTACCTGCAAGGGATAGTTGCTTTTCAAAGTGCCTTACTAGATTTAAAAATAAAATAATATTAGATAAAGATGGTGGGTGGTAGATGTAGTATGGAACACAAGGCATGTTTTTTTTTGTTTGTTTGTTTTTGTTTTTGTAGTGGAGGATTGAACCCAGGGCCGCTTAACCACTGGGCCATATCCCTAGCCGTTTTTAAAATATTTTATTTAGAGACAGAGTCTCGCTAAATCGCTTAGGTCCTCCTAATTTGCTGAGGCTGGCTTTGAACTGGTGATCTTTCTGCCTCAGCCTCCAGAACCACTGGGATTACAGGCATGAGTGTGTGCTTTTTATTTTGGCTAGACTCTGCTTAAATTTTAGAATTTCTCAGTCGTGACCCGTGTCAGCTTGGATGAGGCCATTGATCATTCTGGGCCCATTTTGTCCTTCTATCAAATGGAAACGATGATCACTACTTACTAGTGTTATAAGGCACAGTGGAGCAGTGTGTGCCACAGCCTCAGGTGCATGCTGCCTTTACACAGCACTGGAGATAATCATCTTCACTAATTGACTATGGTTTGAAAAATATAGAAATTAATGAATCATTTAAATGTGCACATGCATATCAAAATATGGGAAAAGGCATGGAAATGAAGTGAGCTATTAACATGGAAATTGAATCAAGAAAACATTCAAAATTCCACTGACAGGCCAGCACCAAATCAAATACAAAGCCAGAGCTCTGGACAAAGGATATGGTGGGTTTGTCTGTTTCCTGTCATTAAGTACATCTCTAATTATGTTGTGTATATTGCTTCAGAGGCAAAGGCCCTTTGAAAAATACATCTGATGTCATTAACGCCGCCAAGAAGATTGCTGAAGCAGGTTCCCGAATGGACAAATTAGCTCGCGCTGTGGCTGATCAGGTAATCTGAGAGGGAAGAGCGGGCACATGTTCAGAGGAATCATTCATTAGCACCTGGGTTCTGTAATCAGTTTTATACACACTATTAAATGCTCTGAGGAATGAATGGCAATCAATCACGAATGTTTTGCAAACTAGACTCGGCTGAGACCAAGTTGATGACAAAGGTGATTCAGCTCAGGTAAGACTGACTCCTTAGTTTATGAATGAAATCTTAACTTTGTTTTCTGTTTTTTTTTTTTTCTTGGACTAGAGATTGAACCTAGGAGTCTCTACTGCTGAGCCACATCTCTAGCTCTTTTATTATATTTTGAGATGGGACTCACTATATTGCCCAGGCTGGCCTCCAATTTAGGATCCTTCTGCCTCCGCCTCTGGGGTAACTGGGATTACAGGCATGCACCACCACCCCAGGCTCATGACCAAAATTTAATATCAACTACTGGTTAGGAGATGTAGTGCATGAAGAGTCACAGATTACCCCAGCTTTTCCCTTTCAGAATGATACTTTATTCTTCATAATGGGCATAAAAACAGACAAAACAAAATTTTATTTTTTTCACTTTTGGCCTCTTGGCTTAAATCTCATCTTTTTCAGAGATTGCCTACTTAATCCTTTGGTTTTGCTTTCATAATACTTAACACATTTTAAAAGATTTTTTATTACTCTTTGGGTTGTACATCTTTGTGGACAAACTTCATGAATGAGTTGATGAGAAAAAAGAGAAACCTTCCTTGTGGGCAGGGAGCTAGATTAGCAGAAACTTTGAGGCATGGTGGATCATGATTTGATGGTTTGTGGAAGAAGCAGAAGGCAACGAACGACCCCACGTGGTTTGAATGTTAACTGGGAGATGGACAGCAAGGGGCACATGGAGATGAAAGGGTAGGAACAGAAATTGGAGAATTTGGCAGAACATCATGGTTTTACATGTAGTGGTAAGGGAGCAAAACTTTATAATTTATTATTTAATATTTTTCTTATTGGAACACTCTTCAGGATTCAGTTAATTTATGCCCTAGTGTAAATGGGTTTATCCACATAATCAAGAATCCCTACATTTCAGCTATATTTTATCTCAGATTTAAAGGCATCAGTGAAAAAAAATAAAATTCTCTAAGTATCTCATATCCTTTCAGACCAAACTAGGATACATATTAAAATAGTCCTCAATCTCACCTGAAATATTTATTTTCCTACTTTTCATATTATTTGGCTTAAATTGGAACTATAAATATTTTGTTGTAAATATTTTGTTGTGATAATGTTCCATTTCTTGTAAGGGTACTTCAGGCAGTATACTTCTTTGAGTAACTAGTGATTATTCCTTTAACCAACTGTTCAGAAGAATTGACAGTTTGAACCATTTCAACTGGAATGTGTCTTAGACTATAAAATAAACTTCTGAAGTAAAAATATTCCATGTACTCTTATTGAAAGATGTATAAGGGTGATTTCTTCTCCATAGATGCCTCTAAGTCTCCTGGTTTTTGAGATTTTTTTTTTCTTACTATAGTTTTTCTCCCTCAAATCTTAATACTAGAGTCATTCCTCTACTTGTTCAATGTTTCAGTCTACTTAAATGCAACAGCAAAATTTACTCACAAAGGCTAAAAGAATCTCTGCATGGTTAAACTATTACTATTTCATTTAAGATAAGAGCCAACAAATTTTGATTTTAATTGTATTTATATATAGGATGGCTAATCTAAGGGAATGTTTTTTTATTTACTTTTGAATTTCTGGAAAACCAACGAGTTAATTAAGTATTGCCACAATTTCAGAATAGACTACAATTTGTAGGCATTGAGAACCATACCCTTCGCTATTGCTGATTTCAAGGTAATATCAAATTTAAGGCTTCACAGTGGAAGTTGAACTTTTTTATGTAAAGTCCCATATATATTCCATAAAGTTCATGTAAAAGAGAAGTCAGACAATGAACAGAAATTGAAAATATGCAAATCAAAAATTCACCAACCAGGAAAGAAGACAACTTATTTTTTCTTTTCTTTTCTTTTTTTGGTACTGGGGATTGATATCAGGGACACTCAACCACTGAGCCACATCCCCAGCTTTATTTTGTATTTTTATTTAGAGACAAGGTCTCATAGAGTTGCTTAGCACTTCACTTTTGCTAAGGCTGGCTTTGAACTCTCAATCCTCCTGCCTCAGCCTACTGAGCTGCTGGGAAAGGTAGCCACAGTTGTGTTTGTAAATGTTGAGGGAAGTTGGGAATTGTGGGGTAACCAGAGACTTATGATTATAGAAGTCTTGTTAGGAAGGACTTCCTGGGAGTTTAAGTTGCTTTTTTTTTTTTTTTAACTGAATCTCAATGGTTGAAAGCTGCTCAATATATTTAGGCTCCTACTGTCAAAAGTTTAAGTTGCAAAAATTGCTTCTGTTTTTACATATTTTAGACTTTTATTTTTAACAACGCAACATGAAGCATAGCTCCAAACAGTTTGAATATGTGGCATGCACAACACCAACACACACATACACACACACACACACACACACACACTCTCCCAGGACTTTAGATTTATTTTGAGATTAAGTTACAAAGTATTTAAATGATATTAAAAATTATTTTTAAAATAAATAGATGAAGCTTAAACCTAACATAATTTTGAATAGTCTTACTTGTGGTTAGTATGAGGCACCTTGAAATTTTCATTAATATTTTTTCTAATTAGGACATTTCTTTCTCAAATTCTGTACCTATTTCCATGACACAGGAGCCATTTTTCTTGGTCTATCATGCCATTTTTAATATGTGTTTTAAGTACTTCCATTTAAATAGAAGAGAATGAGCATTACCAAAGAATGAATTGGTTACCTTTATTTTTCCTGAAAATATTTTTATGAAGATTGAGATATGCATGCAATATAAAGCTTTTACAGACTGTTGCATTTTTAATTACTGCTCCATTGAGATAGAACTCTCAATTTAATTTGCTGCAAGGTATTTGTATCGAAAGCCTTGTCAGCCCTCCGGGGAGATATCATTTTAAAGTTAATTCCTTCTACTCTATGGGTCTCTGGAGTAGGATAAATATTACAGTATTAAATACTTGTAGGAAGCTAAAAACAGTCTCTGTGGGATTCTTTCTTGATAAATGCAGTTAGTGGAAAATACGCCACAATGGTAAGTGTTATATATAAAAGAAACCCATTTATTGTTTATTCAATAAATGGTTTTGTCAAACTACTTGTTTTCAGTGTGGATGTGAGAACTCCCTCCCTTGAGCTTGAAGGAAACTTAGCTTAGAGTCTTTCTCCCATACTCTTGTTCTAAATAAGACACTGCAATTTTAGCTGCAGGTATTTATTTCACATAGCATTTTATCAAGGAACTTGTGATTACATGTCCTTTTACGAGTGCCAAATCAAACCAGAGCAATTAAATGGCCTGGAAGTGATTCAAGCTAAAACATTTGATAGCAATAGAAATATATTTCTATTATTCAGTAGCCTTTGGCATTAAAGCCTCAGTGTTGTTTTAGGGAGTTATGTAACTATCTAAAGTGTTCAGCAAAACTCAATGTGTACTTGATGGACATCTACCCACTTTAGTCACAAGGAAAATTCATACTCCCAGCACGACGTGACCTTGGTGAAGCCATTGAAAGAGTTCTGTTGTTTCTCTTATGAGTTTATTTCAACTGGCTTCACACTTATTATATCAACTTTATTTCTCTTACAATGGTCATGAACCATTTCAGAATCTCTCCTGTATACAGAGTTTATTATGTTGCTAAAATTTTGATAAATACAGAAATACAAAAAGCATAAGCTTCTTTTAGTGAATGAGGCATTTCTTACAAGAAATCAATACTTTTTTAAATTAACCATTGTGAAATTCTCCTATGCTGTGTAGAGACATTGCCACATAGCTCAATTTACTTCCGGCATCCAATTTACTTCCTCCGCATTCAAATAACTTTCCAAGTAGCAAGAGTTGAAGAAAACTGGGGAAAAAACACAACTCTGTAGAGTGCTTAGTTTTCTTAAGAGTTTTAGATAATAATAATGGTAAATTATATATTAATAAATATATATATGCACTTATAAATATTTACAGAAATTCAAATAGAACTTTCTAGAAAATCCTGAATGGTCTCTATAAAATCTTACCAAGTAGAGCTAGCCAGTCTAAACTACTGACCAAGTCCTTTCTCAGTCCTTATGAAAATGTTAAGTGAATGTAATTTAGGTACATGACACTGAAACTTTTTCATCCTGCAACTTTTATACAGCAAATGTTAGGAACTGAAGGGTACTTACTGAGATCACTTTTTTGTTGTTGTTATTGTTTTATAGTGTCCTGATTCAGCATGTAAGCAGGATTTATTAGCCTACCTTCAACGAATTGCCTTGTATTGCCATCAGCTCAATATCTGCAGCAAAGTGAAGGCTGAAGTTCAGAATCTAGGAGGAGAGCTCATTGTATCAGGGGTAAGCCGGGACCTGGGCTTCACAATGTAAAGTCCCCACTGTTGTGTTTCTAAGGCAAGCCTTCTTGGCAACAGTACTGCTAAAAACACCAAACTACAGTGATTCACAGGGAGTTTCTTTTTTAAAAAAAAAAAATAAATGTTATCACCATTATTCCAGACCTTACAATAACTCACAAAGAGCAATTTGATTTTCCAATTACCCTGTGTTTATACTAGCCTTGTAAAATCTCCATTCTTCACAAGAAAACTAATTTCATAGTCTGGAAACTCATTGCCAAGCTGTGACTATTATAATTATTTGGGGCTTTTGTATATTTACTCATTGTGAGTCTACTTCCCTTTGTTAGTCCTAGTAATTTTCATTCTGTGTTCAGGAGCCAGCCCCTCTATTTGTGGACTGTGTTCACGTTAGAGATGATGAAAATAATAGGAATCCATTGATCAGGTTCCAATGCATACTAGGTTATCGTAACCCTTGAAAGTTAAAGGATGTTTAAATTTAATATAGTTGATGTGCTGTTGCCAAAATCCAACATAATTGTTGAACACTAACAATTATATATTCGTTGCTAAGTCTCTACAGTGTTTCCCTTCTCATGAAAATATAATTACACTAAACCATTTCCATCAAATACACGGAAATAAGAAGCCATCAAATGCATAGGAACAAGAAGTTCAATGAATACTTAGAAGAATCATGATTTCTTGGCAAGATTTCCAAATGTATGTGTTGAGGTTCTTCACCTTGGCTTCTTCTCCCTCATCCCCTTTCTCTCAACACAGGATGCCATTTATTATAAATTATTTGCAAGTTCAGAAGTGTGGCTCTGTCACCTGAGTTCTTTTCCCAGTGAACCATGATGTTGCCATTTTAAGTGTAGAATTGCCAGGAAAGAAAACATTATAGACATGATGAATGTGAACATCAGACAAGTCACAAAACTCAATTCTTCCTGAAACTATTTTTAGAAATTCAGCAATTGGATCACTTGATTAAAATCTGTGGAAAAAAAATCATAAAGTCATTCTTGGAGCCAAATTTTTCAATTCCTATGTTGTTTGGCTTGTGGAAATCATAGCTGGGAAAAGAGCTGATCTGGCTTGCATGGCGAGTCCATCTGGAAAGCCTGATCCATGAAGTCCTACCTTACAGCTCAATACATTGGCTATTTTGTGCCTCTTCCCAAAGCACAGTCACCTCTTTGCATTTCCAAAATGATCCTGCTTCAACATTCTTCCACAACCAAGAGCAATCTGTCTTGCAATGTGTCCTTCCTGCCAAGCTGGTTAGTTATCAATATTCTCTCGCCAAGAAGTGATCAAAACATTGCATCTCCCTTGCTTCCTTTCTTATCTTCAGCCTTGATGGTAGAGTTTCCCATACCACTCTGCTTTCATGTCCATCTGTATACAGCACCTGTGGAACCAAGTGCTTTTTGTTCAGCTTGCCTTGTGTGCTTTCATTTGTTACTTTCCAAATCTTATTATTTACATGGATGCACAAAGCATCTTTGTGGATCTTAGACTCCACGAACTCATCTGGGCAATATTTTCCTGGCAGAGCTGCTCTCCATCATCCTCTGAGTACCCATTGTTCGTCACTGCCTTCAGAGCTTCATTTCCATTGTCTTTTTCTCATTTAGATGTAGTCCAAACCATCACTGGCTTTTGTCACTTGCACTGTTGGCATTTGCAGAGGTGTTTGACATTGAGAACACCATCAAGAAGCCTGTGTCTTTCTTTGAGTCTCATTGGCAAAGTTCATAAATCCTTGCATGGGAGAAGGCTTCTTTTGGAGGAATGTCATACTTTATAATGATTCTGAGTCAAATGCATTGTTAGAGTTTGCTATTATATTGCTCAGTTACAGGCCTGCTCTCGGCCTCCTCATGATTTTTTGTTTTGTTTTGTTTTTGTTTTTTTCTGAGCTTGATTGCTGTGTGGTGCCACACCCGCATCTGTAGATTGCTGTCTTTGCCACTTCTGCTTCCATCTTATTCTTCATCCTCCTTCACTAATGGCCAATGGAGAAAAAAAAAAAAAAATCAACATGCTTACTGTGCAAAATAGCCACAAATGACTGCCTTCAAAGTTCTAAAAAAGTCAAGAATGTGAGACCCCATACACACAGATTTTCAATGATTTTGCCAAGAAAATTGCACCCACGTTTGGACCCCATTTGTTTTGTTGTCTGTTGTGACAATCGGTCACTATATTTTTCAGGAGAAGCCAGTGTAGTTTCATGTGTAATCAAGAAAAGAAGATACTTGAATCTTCTTTCCTTTTTGGTGTGTTTATGTCTGTGGGATTCAACAACGTGGCTTCTTCTCTGAAATATATGAAAACCCCAGGAAAATTGTATTTGTTACAAGTCAAAGTCTCCACCAAAAGAGTAGAGATTTGAACAGATTATTTACATTTGCCAAGAAAAATGATTTGAATTTCAAAACAGAGAGCCACATGTTTTTATGGTCTTATGCTGGCACATTGGACATATGTTAAGCAATTATGTGCCATATCAGCATATTTATGTTCTATGTGATTCTACATGTGCAGCCTGGGAAAGACCTATGGTGCTGTGTCTGCTTTGGTTTGAGAGTCGGGGAAGGAAAACTACTCAACATGGGAGAGAACGGGTGCAAAAGCTCTATGAGTCATGATGGGAAACTAGAGTAATTAGATAAATAAAGTACTCTGAGATGTATGTCTGTGTATGCTTATTCACAAATCAGCTCTCTGTAAAGCACCATTAACTTTCTGGCTGGCAACCAATTTTTTAAGCTATTGGTTTAGACATTTCTCAACAGCCTAAAGGTACCATCCTTTCCGAATTTAAAGGTAGAAGATGTATTTGTGAGCAAATTAATTCAACTTGGTTATAAAAGAAGTGATTGGTTGTAAAAGAAAAAAAACTTTTTAGATTATTGGAATGATGGATATGTTAGAACAAATGTAGAAGAAACTGTTTCAGAAGATGAAATAGCCAGTTAGTCTATAAACTGGCTTTGTTTGCTTAGGTTAATGTTCATTTATTTCAAAGTATTAAGCCAGTTGACATGTATTTTAGAAAGATGAATAAAAAAGGAAGAAAGGATGAAAGGAAGAAGGAAAGAAAGAGTAGGAGTTAGGGTAGGAGTGAAGAGGAGTGAAGAAAAAAGAAAAGAAGAGAGAAAAGAAAGGGAACCTTAACCATGGTATATCAAAAATTAGTTTTTGTATGTAAATGTTCACTAAATGTGACAGCTTTATATCATCATGGGAGAAAATTTGAGCCAGATATTTTAAGTATATAAATACTATTATGAATATAAACAAATGTCAATGTCATGATATGGAAATTACCTATATATTTAATTATCATATTTTGAAATCTAATTTTTATTCATTGATTTCAGAGAATTTAATGGGTACTTTTAAAGTTAATAAAGAAATGTATACCTGGATCTCAAGAAATAAAAATCATCTCATGACTTTCAATGATTTTTATCTGTCAAAAATGTATATGTTGTGTGTTATTCTGAATGAGATTGGAAACACTAATGTATTGTTTTCATGAACCTCAAGTGTTCTGATAAAAGTGAAAAGATTCCCCTAAGCATTTTTAAAAGGCTGTAATACATTAGGAGTGCCATTATAGCAATTAAGCCAGAACAAAAGAGCAGGAAAGAAATTTAATATTTTAGTGAGAGATGGAGGGACTAGGATTTAACTTATAGCTGACTATACACAGAAAGCATATTAATTTTAACTGATTTTATTACATATACATTTTTTTCTCCACATGAACCAAATATACGAACAGAGTTCAGAGATGAGGTATGTTAGTCGCCTAAGTCTTCAGGCTTTGTGAGGGGATCCCTGACCCATTCTTAATTCCAAGGGATGGTGAGACTTACCCTAATACACATTTTAGTTCTTTGCCATTTAAACCTCTTATCAAATCTGAATACGTCTCAGTTGGATATTGGGGAACAGTTTGATAAGCTGAGCAAGTATAATTTGTGACACTGGTAAGATCTGTTGGTAAAGAGAAAAATTGAGGAATAAGGGATCAATTGCAAGTCAGACTGCACATATTATTTTTTAAAAATTTGGCTCAATTAAAATCATGAGTGGAATGAATAAGAAAGAGAGTGGAATGAATTTGACCTAACTTTCCTATGTATATATATGAATACATGTGAATCTCCACATCATGTGCAACCACAAGACTGGGATGCCAATTAGAAGACGATGTATTCCATGTTTAAATAAATATGTCAAAATATAATCTACTGTCCTATATAACTAAAAAGAACAAATAAAAAATAATTTAAAAATTGCCATGATGTTCATGGTGATGAGTAAGAAATATTTCTAAAATATTGGAAATTAATGATTTCCAAGTCAGTCTTTTCTGACAGTGGCATGTAATCAAAAATGCTCATCTATGTTCATCTATACACAAAACAAACACACTCAATGTGACATTTCCTGTCTTAACTCTTTCAATGTGCAATAGTAAAATGACTTTTATGTCTGATCTAATGCAGTTTAGGAGAAATAAAATGAGGAGATATATTTGCACAGTGCAACGTGTGTGTGTGTGTGTGTGTGTGTGTGTGTGTGTGTGGATAGATAGGTAGATAAATAGATACACAAATACTTTCCCATCATATATATGATATATTGATGAGAAATGCATTAGGACAGTTCTGTATTCCCAGTATACCAAAAAACAAGTGCCAGTATTTTGAAAAAGAATGAAATAGTCATGGGAACAAGCATTACATCTAATTGTGCAGACCTGTAGTTGAAGGAACCCTTTTTGTGGAGTATTTTTATATCTTCTGATTCTGTCTATAGTCAATTCTTGATTCTTTCCACTGATCAAAGTGTAGCAGTAATAGAAAAAAATATAAATTGCTAGCTATTTCAATTTGGGTTTGGAATGTATTTCTGTGCTTCATTTGAAAGGATACGTGTTCAAGAAATTCACAGCAGTTCAGAAGAATTTTA